CACAACAGCCAGAGCAATTCTTTAAAAATTCAAACTTACATCATGCCACTCTCTTGAGCAGTGCCCCAGAGCCACTCAGCCTGGCTTCTCTGTGCAATTAGAATGAAATCCAAATACCTGATCCTGGTCTGTAAGATACTTATGGCATCTGGCTTCAAGTTATATTTCCAACTTGACTTTCTGCCATACTCTACACCCAACTACACATCATCTTTATTCTGTCTTTTCAGCATCCAAGCTCAAATCTGTGTTCAGACTGGTGCAATTGCAGTTTCATGGTTTGGAAGGTTCTTCTGCCAGACAATCACGTGATAAGCTCTCTACCTTCGTGCTCTCAGAGGGGCCTTTGTGGAACATCACTTGTGATGGTTAATATTAGATGTCAACTTGATTGGATTGAGGGATGACTAGATGGCTGGTAAAGTATTGTTTCTGGGTGTGTCTGGGAGTGTGCTGCCGGAGGAGGCTGACATCTCAGTCAGTGGACCGGGACAGGAAGACCTACCCTCAGTGTGGGTGGGCACCATCCAATCGACTGCCAGTGCAGCTGGAACAGAGCAGGCAGAAGAAGGGGGATGAGCAGCTTGCTGAGTTTTCTGTTTATCTTTTTCCTTCCCGTGCCAGACTCTTGCTTCTACTCCTCCTGCCCTTGGATATTAGACTCCAGATTCTTTGGCTTTTGAATTCTAGGACTTGCACCAACTGCTTCCCCGGGGCTCTCGGGACTTCAGTGGTAGACTGAAGGATGCGCTGTTGGCTTCCCTGGTTCTGAGGCTTTCGGACTTGGCCTAAACTACTTCCTGCTTTTCTCTTTCCTCGTCTTGCAGAAAGCCTATGGTGGGCTTTGCCTTGTAATCTTCTGAGCCAATTCTTCCTAATAAACTCTCTAATAAACTCTCTTTCATATATATATATTCATATATATATATTCATATATATATATTCATATATATATATTCATATATATATTCATATATATATTCATATATATATTCATATATATATATATATGAACTACTAGGGCATATAGGGCATATATATAGTAGTTCTGTCCTTCTGGGGAACCCTAATACATCCCTTAAGACCAGCCTGTCTGCCATCTTTTACTCTTCATTCTTTTACCTTGTTTAATTTTCTTTATTTCTGTCATCAGTATCAGAATTCTCCATAGTCATTTGTCTCTCTTTTAGATGGTAGGTTACACGAAGGCAAGAAGTTTTGTCTGCCTTCTTTGCTGCTGTTTCTCAGTTGCCCAAAATAGTGCATCATTAATAGTGGGTGCTTAATAAGTGCTTGTAGAAAAAAACGGTGTTAATATTGAAAGGCAATTGAGATGATAGGAAAAATAAGAACATATTTTCTTCTTGTACCTTGTGCACAGCCTACGTAGCATTTAGATGTTGGATTGCTATTTATTGATTAGCTGGCTTTGTAAGTTTAATTCACAGTATATTAGGAAATATGGAGAGAAAATGTACTATTTTTAAGCTTTATAGGGAGGTAGAAAAAGGAATTAGGAACAGATAGAATTCAGAGCAGTTCTGAAGGAGTCACTGTGTACAGAAACAATAGGAGAATTAGGTGCAGTCAGGACCTAGGTGTGTCCTTCTAGCCACCACCACCACTTATTGGAATGTGTACTTGTCACTGGAACTTTCAGTCTTGTATTTTATTTTTCAGTCATTTTCCATATCTCACCTTATTTGCTTTCTTGGGAAGGCTGTGGCCTGGTTCAAATAACATAGCCCTAGGGAAGCACCCACATTGTAGCCGAGAAGAGACGCCAAAACTGAAGTCCAGAGATGTGGTACAGAATAGAAGATACAGACTTAAATGAAGCCACAGCCTAGGAGTTGGTAAGGAGGCCCGTGCTACCTGGTGCATACTTAATAAACATTTGCTGAGTTAATTAGCAGACTAAGGTCAGGATGCTGAGTGATGGTCCATGATTGAATATGGAGGCCATGGACAGAGTGAAGGGTCTGAGCCCACATCTGTGTGATCTGTCTGCAGGCTGGCTCCTGGAGGGGCCGAGCAACGGAGTTCACACATCCTGAGTGTGCTCATCTTCCCCTCTCTCCTATTTCCTCTGCCATTCTTTACAGCATAATTGTGAATGCACTGTTAGAATATTTTATTACTGGCTAGTTAACCCATAAGTAAGAGATCTGCTTTCAGTCATCTCTCTCCATTGAGTGCTCATTGCTGTGCTGGTCAACACAAGAAGTCATGTGTCTTAGTGGAAGAGTAGAAGTCTGGGGAAAACTGCTTGGGTTGAGGGGTATCTTCATCCAGGGGCATAATCTTCATCTAATTCAGTCTCTTCGTCGTCAGAAAGCTATGAATAATCATCGTATCCACCTCATAGTTTTGTCATGAGGATTACATGATTTGATATATATAAAGTACTTAGAATAGTATCTGGCATACCGTAGGTGCCTGATAAATATTAATTATTTTTAGGATGATGAGGGTGAAATGGACCTTGCTGCTGTCCATGTTACTTCATGTGTGTGCACTCAGGTAGGTGTAGCGCACACACATGAAATAACAGGGGCACTGCTAAATGCTACATCTTGTTTAACCATCTGTAAGTGAAATAGGTGTTCAGAGGAGGGAAGGATGACTCAGAGATGGCACTATCAGAGAAAATTCCCGAAGATGACCAAAGTAGTGGTTCTTAAAAGTCCTTAGAATTTTTTGTTGGTTATGACGGGTGCTTTCTCTTCATTCCTTCCATTGCAGCGAGGCCTGTGGATAAAATACGATGCACACTCTGGTTCAAGACACACTCATGTGGAGGCCAGTGACCACCACCCCTTGGTCCCGAATGGGTTCGGAGTCCCTAATTAGAGGGGGGTGTTACAGTGCCAGCTGTTGGGGAGAGCTCGTGCAAGTAGCAGACAGATCTCCAAGAAGCAAGGTTCTGCCCTTCTAATGGGAAGACAGATGGAATGTCTGTCAAAGGGTCCCTGTGGTTCCAGCAGCTGCCACACATGTGAAGTCTGTGTTTCTCCTACATCAAACAGGCCCGGGGAGGCCACCATCATTGCAAGAGGCTTTTCCTGTTCTCCCCGTGATATGATTTGGATTTGTGTCTCTGCTCCAATCTCGTGTTGAATTTTAATCCCCATTGTTGGAGGAAGGGCCTGGTGGGAGGTGACTGGATCATGGGGGTTGATTTCTCCTTTGCTGTACTTGTGATAGTAAGTGAGTTCTCATAAGACCTGCTTGTTTAAAAATGTGTGGCACCTTCCCTTTCACCCTCTTCCTCCTGCCCTGGCCATGCAAAATGTGGTAGCTTCCCCTTTGCCTTCTGCTAATTGTAAGTTTCCTGAGGCCTCCCCAGAAACAAAAGCCAGTATAGCCTGCAGAACCGTGAGTCAATTAAACCTCTTTTCTTTATAAATGACCCAGTTTCAGGTATTTCCTTATAGCAGTGAAAGAACAGACTGAATACACCCTGCTTTTACTCTTGACACTATAAAGCAGTTTTAGTATAGCCTAAATTATTATTTATAAACATAAGTCAAACAACATGTCTTCTTCGTGCAAAACCCTCCGTATAGTCCCATCACCCTGGAGATGTGTGAGAAACTCCTGTCCCTGGTCTCAGCTACCCTCTGCCCCCATCTATCATTCTTTCCTACTCTGAGTGTGGTTCCTTGGGCACCTTAAGGCGCTTTGCTAGTACTGTTTTCACGTCTCCTCTCACTTAGTTTAGGTTTAAATTCAGATATCATCTTCATGACCATCTTACCTAACATGCCTTTCCTTTTCACTCCATGGCCTCTAACACTAATTCATTGTTCTTCCTGGCACTTATTACTACCAGCCGTTGAGCAAAGGAATCTATTTTGTGTCATGCACTGTAAATCAGAAAATGACCAAAGCAAGTAGCACTCACTTTAAGAGACTTACTTGCCAAAGTTAAGGATGCGTGCCTAGAAGACAAGTCTATGCCTTTCTCCAAAGATGATTCTGAGGGCTTCAATATTTAAAGAGCAAAAGGTGGATATTGGGTAAACACACAATTTTCATGTGAGAAGTGATGGGGAAAATGGTCATTCATGCCTTTGTCTGGCTCAGGGAATCTGAATTTTTATATAAGATAATGTAGACAATAGGGCAGAGGAAGCAATCAGATATGCATTTGTCTCAGGTTAGCAGAAGGATGACTCTGAGTTCTGTCCTATGTCCCTGCACCTGTGAAGATAAGCTATCAATTTACATTGCCTTGGTGAACCTTAGTAGAAATGCTTTAGGGTAAAGATCTTGGGGGCCACCAGGAATTTCCTTGTGGGCAAAATGTTGGGGAGGTGTGTAGCTTTTTATCTTTGTAGCCATGTTATTTTGAAATCAAATGGGAGGCAAGTTTGCCTGACCCAGTTTCCAGCTTGACTTTTCCATTTGGCTTAGTGAGTTTGGGGTCCCGAGATTTATTTTCCTTTCACCGCACCAAAATGAAAAACAAAATGTCTTTCAAGCAAGAAAGAAGAATAATAAGACTTCTCTTTGGACCAGTCATGGATATTAACTAATTAGTGTTTGTCAAGTGAAGGACATGAAATCAGCACAGAAATGTGGAATCACAGACTGGCAGCGGGGAGCAGCCAGCAGTGTGAATCTACCACTGACCAGGGCAGGGACTTTCCACAGACAGAGTCACACGCTGATTAAGAGTTTGGCTTCTGGGGACGGGCACGGTGGCTCATGCCTGGAATCCCAGCACTTTGGGAGGCCGAGGCGGGCAGATCATTTGAGGTCAGGAGTTTGAAACTAGCCTGGCCAACATGGTGAAACTCCATCTCTACTAAAAATACAAAAATTAGCCAGACATGGCGGTGGGTGCCTGTAATCCCAGCTACTTGGGAGGCTAAGGCAGGAGAATCATTTGAGCCATGGAAGTGGAGATTGCAGTGAGCAGAGATTTCAGTGAGAGAGGTTGCAGTGAGCAGCCTGGGCGACAGTGAGAGTCTGTCTCCAAAAAAAAAAAAAAAAAAAAAAAAGAGTTTGGCTTCTGGAAACCAGATGATGAGCATTCTCATTGTGGGGCTGCCTCTTATTAACTATGAACACTGAAAAAGACACCTCACCTCTCTGTGTCTTCATCTGTAAAACAAGAATAATAATATCATCTACTTCATACCATTGCTGAAAAGACTAAAAAATGTTAATGTAAAAAAATACTTACTACAATGCTTAACACAAAATAACTTTGTAATAAATGTCACTATACTCATTATTTTATTATCCATTTTTATATGAAACAAATCTAAGAAAGTGGCTGTCCCAGACTTTCATAACATAATAACTGAATTGTCAACTGTCTTCTCTCCTTTAGTTTCTAGTCTCACTAAGACAATTTCTGATTTTGCTTCCTGTGTAGCTCAGCCTACAGAAAATAAATTCACATTCACACTGAAATGGACATTCCAGCTCCTGTGGCACAGATTTTCTATGAAAAATGAACACACTTAGATTATGGTTTGGGCATGAAGAATTGAGTCAGCATCATTTTCTCTTCTGAGATAAAACAATTCTAGGCGTGAAGACAAGACTGGATTCCTGAATCAAATTCCCCTGAAAACGATGATTCATTAAGGTAACGGCAATGGATGGGGTTTCTTCTGCTTGGTCAGTGGTGCCACTTCGCATAGCCTCCTGGAACCCATTGATGACTCCCTGGGAGAGTCCCAGGGTAAATGGGAAGGGGTAACATTGCACTTGGTTGCTTGGGATCTGTTAGTGCCAATAAGACCGGATATAGACATCTTTGCTTGCCATTCTTTCTGACAAACCACTGACAGAGGTATTCATCTGACTGATATACACCATATCTGTGTATAATCCTAGTTGTTAAATGGGAACCAGAACCAACTGGGGCATAGGTAGCCTTCTATGGATTAAATTTTTTCCCTTATAAAGATATGTGGATGTCCTAACCACCAATGCCTTAGAATGTGATTGTATTTGAAAATAGGACTGTTGTAAATATAATTAGTTAAGAGGAGGTCATAACAGAGTAGGATTGACCCTTAATCCAATATGACTAGTATCCTTTTAGGAAGAGGAATCACACAGAGGAGCACGCCATGTATAAACCCAGACCCATAGAGAGAAGACAACCACAGACAATGGAGGCAGAGACTAGAGTGATGCAGCAGTAAACCAGGAACACCAAGTATTGCCACCCAACACTGGAGGGAGAAGATGGAAGAAAGGATTCTCATCTTTAGGTTTCAAAGGAATCATAGCCCTGCTGACACCCTGATATCTGCCCTCCAGAACTACGAGGCAATAAATTTCTGTTGTTTCAATTCACCCAGTTTGTGGTATTTTGTTATGACAGCCCCGGGGAACCAACACACAGCCGTGCCACCCAACAGCAACCATTAGCATCCTTTGGTCCACACTGACCCTACAGTTTCTTAAGGGACTACTCTATGTTAAACATGTGTTTGACATGAGGTTGGAAAAAGGCAATGCTCACCTTAGGCATCAAATACAAACAAGTGAGAATATTTTGTGAGACTCCAGATAATGTCTTCTATGTGAAGATGCCTATTTCTATTATTAGTATATGAGCTCAGATTAGCTAACTGCATTTTCCTGCTGAAAGGAAGACCCAAGGTGTGATTTAATTAGTCAATCTCTTGCAAATTGATGGTTTAGGAGAGAATGGCTGTAGCAAGATATCCTTGCAGCATTTTTATCCCTCACTGATTCTGCTCTGGTAAGCACATGCAATTCCACATCAAGAAAGAGAAGAATATGCTGAGGATGCATCATTTTATAATGCTGGAAAGCAGATTTATAGAGATTCCTGTAGACTCCGAATGCCAGCCCAAATTATAAAAGTGCTAGTCTCCTTCCAAGTTTTTTTTTTTTTTAATTTTTTTTAGGAAGACCTCAATCCATACAACGAGAAATTTATTGTGTAAGTTATCCTAGTGTTAGTAAAATGAGATATGTTGATTATAGTCTGATCAAATACTACATCTGGTAGTAGTAGTAGAACTCTTTATTCAGACATTTCTGCTTGAATGGATTGGTTATTAGCCGGGAAATGAACTGGCTGATCCCATGAAAGTATTTATAGTGAGGGTGGTGCAGTTGTAAAATAAAGGGTGCCATAAATTTTGTGCCCGGTAGCTCTTCAAATAGGCATGCATGTTCTATATGGATGGCCGTGCATTTCAATTGCATAAGCAACCCGCTATCACCATCTCTCTTTGTGTATGTACTGTGGCAGCAAGCAAAGCCCAAGGCTATTGGCAGAGCTGATCATTTTTTTTGTTTTTAGCATGATTACCACTGCTTTTGGATTAGGTAAACTGTGAGGAACCAGAGGCAGGGCTTTTCAGCTTGAAAGCTGGTGCATTTGCCAAATGAGTGATTTTGAAAATTGGCCTCCCTTTGCTGAAACATGTTTTTTTACATTCTAAGAAACCTCCGGCATTAAAGATAAATGTTGTGTTCAGGACACAGGAATCAAATTGAACACTATGCATCCGAGCTTTTAAAAAATTTTCTTTTGTGGAATGAAGACTATGGAATGAAGACTGGTCAGATATGGGCTTCATTTATACTCCATCATGCTTTTTGGTGGCTTCATAGGGAGGGCCCTGGGGGACCACATAATCTGGCCATGACCAGAATATTGGAACAGAACTCTGTGAACCCTATTTATGGTAGCACCCCTTAGTCTAAGATAACACAGGGAGCAAGAGGTTGACAGGAAAGCCAGGGGAGCAGGGAAGTCTCCTGAAGATATTAAAGAGAAGTGCTCAGTCTCCTTTCTAAGGTACATGATGGATTCAAGGGAAAATAAAGCCCAAGGGATTGTTGCTTCGAACCCAGTTTCTTGGCAGAAGATATTGCAAACTAAGAGTCAGATTAATATATGGGTTCCAAAATAAATCAACAAATAATTGAATAATCCCTGGAGGTTTAAGTTGGGAGAAACTCCTCCACAGCTTGCTACCGAGGCAGAACCGGTTGAAACTGAAATACAGCCGCTGCCAGAGGATCCATAAAAGGGAAATTGTTACCGAACTGGCAACTGCCAATCAAAGTACACCAATGGACAAGCCAAAAAGAGCACTCATCTCATGGTCCCAAGGATCAACCTTCCCAGAGTTTTCACTTAAGTGGCCACCAAGCCAGTTGTCAATCCAGGGCTTTGGACTAAAATCTAGGACTTCATCCATTACCTCAGAGTGTCTTCTATTTCCTGCAGCCAGTGATAAATACAACAAACATCTGAGATGTTTTAGCTATAAATGCTTTACGATTGTTATTTAGGTATTAACTTTCGGTACACCTGGAAAAGACGGGGAAACAATAAGAACATACTGTCTTGGCTGAGCATCCAAGAAGGTTAAATGAGTTATGGGAATTCATTTGGGAGCCAAGACATTGCACATGTTTATTTATCAGTCATCCAATCATGTATTTTGCGTGTCCATCAGTTGTTCTTGGCCAAAAGAGGAGAATCAATGAGCCGCTGCAGATGCAGACACAGCAGCCCCTTGCAGGGACAAGTCTGGAGGATGAGCTTTGAAGAGGATGCACCAGCCCTGTAGCCTAGGAAATGGCAGGCACTTACAAGAGCCCAGGTTGTTGCCATGTTTGTTTTTGCACCTTGTCTATTTAAAGAGATTTGAGAAATAAATACCTAAGCCATTTTTTTTATTATATGATAAAGGAGTAGGGTTCTATAACAATTTGTGGGAGGAAAAATTTGTTTTAAAATGGGTCAGCTGAAATATCACCTAATTGTATCGGCAGATGAGACACTTGGCTATTGGTTCACATACCTGGCAAACACATGTTGGCGTGGAACTCTCCTTTCTTGCGGTAGTAAGGTATTAAGCTCAACATGGCATCAGAGCTATGTATAGAGGGATTTGCACTCCCCTCCTCTGTCTGTGTTTGCCAAAGGATCTATTAACCCTAATTTTCCTCCTCTTTCTCTTTCCAGAGTCTTCTCCATCTTCCTAACACTTTTTCATTTGCAGTCCAGCTCACCCATTGTTGTGGTTTTAAAAATATATTTACATATTTTAGGATACTCTTGTTTCAAGAGGTAGAGTTTAATTCCCCTCTTCTTGAGTGTGGGATGGACTTGTTTCTAGCAAAATAAGGAGGAACGATTGTGTCTGACTTTGGAGATAGGTCGTAAAATTTTCATCAGCTTCCTGCTTCATCTCCCTCTGGTATGTGCTTGTCTCTGCATCTCTTCCATCTCTGTCTGTCTCTGTCTCTCTTTTCTCTCTCTTTTTTTCTCTCTCTGTCTCTTCTCTCTCTATCTACCTTTCTCTTTCTGTCTTTCTGTTTCACTTGCTTTCTTTGTCTCACTCTCTGGCTTTCTCTTTCCCTCCCATTTTTATCACTTGATTCATGGAAGCCAGTTGCCCTGTGGAGAGGCTCACATGCCAAACAGCTGAAGCCTCCAGCCTCCAGCCATATGAATAAGCTCCTTGGAATCACAGGTAAAGCCTTCACGGGACTGTAGCCTTAGCTGACTGCTTGACTCAGCCTGTGAAACACTCTGAGCCAGAGCACCTGCTAAGTCATTCCCTGACTCTTGGCTCTCAGGCATAGTGTGTTGTTTTGAGCTGCTAAGATTTGGGGTAATTGGTTATGGGACTGTAGGTAACCAATATGTCTTTTCACATGATTTTACTACCCCTCTGACAGGACAGCTTTTGTCTAGATCACTAGTAGATCTAACCTGGCCCCTGAATCTGTAAATGAAGCTCCAATGATTGAGCTCCTGAAACCAGAATTCAGTGTTCTCACCAATACCAAAAAGATTGGCTCAAAAACCTTAGCTTGTCCTTCTTGCACTGGCTGTACTTCCTAGGAACAAGCTATCTACTACCTTACCTCAAGCAAACGTTCTTTAGAGGAAGTATAGGAATCTGTAAGGGGTTTTCAGAGGAGAATGGGCCTTGCTTGCTGAGAGCTGAGATGCTATTTCTCTTCACGGCTGTGACACCTGCCGTTCATTTTAACTTCCCTTCTTTCTTCCTGGCTACTGCCAAGCCTCTAGTCAACCCACTGCCAAGTCTGATCCATTCTGCCTCCATGTTAGCTCCCACATTGGTCCTCTCCTATCCATTGCTGTATCTTTAGTTTATATCTTCATTCCTCTCACCAATACTTTTTGCAGGGTATCTTTAGTCATAGCATTTCCCTCTTCTCTTCAATTCCTCATGCACAGAGCTGCTACTTACCCCCTGAAAGTAATACCATGGACTATGTGACTTTCAGAGGCATTCATTTTATTCCAAATTGCCCACAGTTAAGGTCTAGTTCTTTATCTGAAGCAGGGGATTTTATCTTCACAAGAACTCTGAGTTTCTTTATCTATACACCTCACCTGTTTCACATAGAATTTTTCTTTACTCCCATCCCAGCATGTCCAATTCTCTCTTCAGACCAAATGTATGTTGTTTTCAGCAGCTAAATGTTGTGGTAACTCACTGTTGTATGGCTATAGAAAAATAGTACACTTTCAACCTCGTCTTTTAACAGAGCTTCACTGTCCCTTTGGTAATTCTTGAGTTTATGTTAGCATGATTCCCATAAACAATTATAACATACACTATGGCGCTTAGAAAATGATGAGCAACATAATTCTTTGTTACTGTATCTCAGATATATGACATTAGGGAAATCATTAAAATATATTGGTCTCAGATCTGCAAAATCAAATTTTTGGATTATGATTACTGAGGTCCTCAGTCCTTTCTAACTTTCACATATTCCAATCCTATGTGCTTCTAATAGTGCCAAGTGCAAAGGAAAAAAATTAAAAACATCAAGTATTTGAAATCTTATCAGTCAATCAATGAGCATTTATTGAGTAACTACTATGTGTCCAAAATTTTGCCCACAGACAATGAATCTTAAAACTCCCTCATGTGTCATAGATCATTTTGCTGAAGCTATTCATATTTTAAAATTTCCCTGTATGTCTTGCCTTTTTACAGCTATTTTTATACTGATAATACTTTAAATAACTGCTATTTAGAGAGAGGAAAAAGCATCCATACAAAGGCTGTGCACATGTGTTATCGGTTGTTGGTAGTTGTGAAAGAGTAGTTGGATACGGGAGATTGACGAAGTCTATTATGTAGGGCAGGCTTCATGGGCATGCAGTCTGGGCAGTCACACAAGTACCCAGGCCCAGAAGGAAACCACACTTAGCTCAATGCTCTGCTGTTTTGATCCTGAAATTCATAATAAGAATAAGAAACCCACATTTTCAGGCACACTCAGCTCCTGCTATGGTCTGAATGTTTATATCCCCC